TTTTTTTTTTTTTTTTCTCTTTGTTGTACTTCTGTTCATCCTCTATTTTTAAAAAATGCAGCCACACGTACAACACACACTCGTCAGCCCGGCGACCCCTGGCAGAGATTTCGATTATGGGCTAGCACTCCTGCTGGGTTGAAGATGGGAGCCCTGACGGACTGAGTCATCACTTTCCTTTTCTTCATAGTTCATGTGCACTGCAGCAGACTGACCAATGCCAATCAAGCCGACTGACAGCTCTCTTTTTTTTGATTGGTTGTCATGTGGTCTACAGTGCTCTCTGAGATATCTTTTACCGTCTTCGTATCGCTGTGGCGGCGCTCTGTGTTGTCGCTGATCAGATGCACTCATCTGAGGAATTAAATGAGATTGAATCTCATAAGATTTGATGCCTAAAATGTTTCCAAGTGGTCTGTGGCTGATTTCAGTTGTGCTACCAACAAAAACAAATTGTCATACTTTATCTTTTGAGAAAGCCATTTTTCCATTTGCTAGTAGACCAGGCAACGGCTTGTAAATAGAAAAGTCATCAGAGTGACTGACAGTGTATATATAAGGCTGTGCTGTATACAGACTTCTCCTCATTGTGTATGTGGAAGTGTGTATGTGTGGAGTTGATTAATGCCCTGTCACCGGTGGCAGTTGTCTCGCTGGTGGTGACAGGGTGAGTCCCCTCGTCCTGCAACCTTCTCCTTCCAACTTCACACATCTCATCCTGTCGCCAGGGCCTAATCACAATATGTACAGTTCTGGAAATAACTAGAAGACATCCTCGCTCTCTCTTTTTTTTTCTCCCCCCGCCTTCGTCTGTGTGTTTTTCTTTCTCCCCTCCCTCGCTGCTGTGAGTCCTGGTCTCTGGCGTCAAATTGTTATTTGTTCTTTTGCCAGCTTGACGCCACCCCATATGGCTCCAGAGAATTGAAAATGGAAACAGTGAAAATTAATGCTTCACCTCCCTCCTGTCCCCGGCCAAATCCTCCTACCCTCGTTCAGGCTCCAACAATGACACTTTTTGAAAAGTGGATGTTGGGATTGTGCGGATCACAGGCCAAACCCACGCCGACAATTTCTGTTTCATCAAATTTCAGTTGGGATTCACTTTGATGCTCAATAATTATGAATAATATCCTCTAGAAAAAGCAAAACGTGCTTTACGAGAGGATAATGCACCCACTGCTTTGACTGTCTCAGCACTTGCCGAGGGCTTAAATGTCAAGGCGCTACGGTGACGTGTCCTGGCAGTGCACGACGGCTGCTGTTCCTTCATGTGGCTCCGCACAACATAAATTTTGCTGCGGTTTTGACCTTGGAGTGCAAGTGCGTTTCAGAACGTCCCTGAACGACCATTAGCATCCCGGGTGGTCATGTTAATTAGCTCCAATCAATCAGATGGGTAGCCGTTAATTGATTTTACCAGTGAATTGAATACGCAACACAATGCGTGTGTAATGATACTTGAGTGTAGGCCTC